ATCTCTGAACTGATGATATTACTTGATCATCAGGGTTGCTATTTCGAAGGATCTGATTTAATATTTCAGAGAATGTTGCTGATTGTGGTTCTGCTTTACTTGCATACTTAGAGATATATTGCAAAGCGGCATGAAGACTAAGAATTGGCTTTAAGTCTATGTTTGCTCGCCAACCCTGTAACTGAAGTCGGCTGTGCATGTTAATATATTGATCATTTCTCACCGTTATGAGTTCAGGTTGGCCATTTCCATCGTCATGCACAATAGTATGATCACTATTTTCTTTAGGGTAACCAAACCTGCACAATTGTTGACCTGCTTTGTTTACGCGAAGACAATATGAGGGGCTACATCGCATGTGTCGCTGTAGTTTATTAACCAATTCTGTATAATCTTGCAAGTCATCTCTAAGCTCTCTGAGTCGCTTTTTACACGGGTAGCAATTTGGAATAGGTGCATTGAGGCCCGGATTAATCGTAGTAACTAAAGAATCTAGGTACATCACTACTTCTCCCATTACATTTTCATCTTCTTTCATCCGCATCCATTCGATTTCAGGTGCATTCCGTATTTTTCCGATCCCATGCACATGTACACTGCCACGGTGCTGCCATTCAAATCGATACCAGTAGTCTTCTAAATTCCATCTATGCTTCAACACATCATTTAAAAAAGTTTCAAAGCATTTATTAAAGAACCAGGCAACGATGTGAGGGTTATTTATTACATTCTGATGATAATGCCTGGTCATTTCAGTTTCTTCTGTGGAGTTTTCGTTAGATGGCATGAGATCATGAAGTTCTGGCCAGTGCAAATCAGCAGCACTAAACGTAAAGAACACAAGCCCACGCGAACCTATTTGCTTAATCATATCAGACAATTCACGACGCCGTGCCATCCAAAACTGCCGTGATTCACGTAAACCCTCACCATATCGCATAATACGATCAGCAATATGTTTATCGCCTTGAGCAATCATCTCCTGGATTTCTTGAACAGTAAGTTGTTCGTCACCTAACTGTTGTTTAATATATATTTTGCCTTCTTGTAGTGCCCGCCATTGCATTAAAGAATTTAATGCAAAGTACCGCCAACGATTGTGGCGTGCAAATCGTCCATCTTTGTATTGTAGTAGATGCTTAAAATATGCTGCTGGGCTGATGTCTCTAATCCGTTCTGATCGAAGATCAGCACATCCTGTTGGGTAGAGCATTGGGAATGCGCATGCAATATAGCCTGGAGTTCTAAATTCATTAATAGGATTATCGTTAATATGTGGCCAGGCTATAGGGCGATGTTCATTTTGAATACGACTAAGGGTTTCATTAATGGCAATTTCTTCACAATTAGTTGACGGAAGGAATGGAACAAAGGTACGTGAAATCATATCATCGATATCATCATCATCATTTTCATTGTTTGACTCTTCTGCAATTATTTCATTATCTGGAATTTGATCCTCGATTGTGCCATCGGTAGGTAATGATTCAAGGATTTCATTATCAATAGTAATTTTAGCATAATAAATGTTATTTGCTTTTAACCAATACAATGCAGAAGCTACTTTATCTCGCCGAACAATAAAATCCCTGAATGATCCTGAATTTGCAGACTGACGAAATATAACTAATACATCTAATGACGATGGGTGTCTAGGAAGGCGAGTGATGAACTCTTGCACATTCTGGGGGAAATTTATTACATTGCCACGGTACCCATATTGCCCTCCACGAAGTTTATAGACTGACATTACGGGAAAGACTTGTGCGATAAGCATTTCTTCTATGTCGGTAAGATTTTGTAATTCTTCAGGTACCTCTCCCGGATCCATGTTGTTATCAGCTGAAAACCTTTTCGGTAAGGTCTTCTCACTGTAACATCGACGACATTCTCTCATGACGAGCACTATGGATGGAAACCTCTTGTTGCATGTAGGGCAAAGTGTATGTTTGAGTTTATCCATTTTATTCCGAAAATTTCGTAACATATCTCGATCAATATTACAGAGAACAGTAGCGGAGAGTGGCTCGACACGTGTTGTCACGCTACTTTCTGTTTTACTAAGCTCATCCTGTTGATCCGTATTTTGATTTAGTTGCTCATTAATGATATTTAATTCATTAGTTTCATGCATTTCCTTGTGCCGTTTTCGGTTTCGGTCACTGGCCAAATGCCTCTCCTGCTCTTCAGTAGTTTCTGCTGCCCTTTTTTCGCGTTTTTTTTCACGATCTCGAGCAAGTCGCGTTTCGCGTTCATAAAAGTTCTCATTCTTTCTTTTCTCACGTTTTCTTTGAGTATCGCGGTAGACATTTTGGTTATCCATTTTATAGATTACGTGTCTATTATAAGTTTCTGAATTTTTTTTTTTTAAAAAAAAA